AATTAGGTGGCCCCTCCATTGCACGATCACTCAGTGATCGTGCAATGTAGGAATCCAGGGCCAAGGCCGCAGCTTGGCCCTGGACCGATCCGCAATGCCATCGCACTATCACTGAGTGATAGTGCGATGGCACGGCCACCTAATTCCTAGGTGGCCTTACCTTAAAAGTAAGGCCACTTAGGAATTAGGTGGCCCCTCCATTGCACGATACTATCACTGAGTGATAGTGCGATGGCACGGCCACCTAATTCCTAGGTGGCCTTACCTTAAAAGTAAGGCCACTTAGGAATTAGGTGGCCCTCCATTGCACGATCACTCAGTGATCGTGCAATGGAGGAATCCAGGGCCAAGGCCGCAGCTTGGCCCTGGACCAGTCCGCAATGCCATCGCACTATCACTGAGTGATAGTGTGATGGAGGGGTCACCTAATTCCTAGGTGGCCCCTCCATTGCATGATCACTGAGTGATTGTGTGATGGAGGAATCTAGGGCCGAGGCCACAGCTTGGCCCTGGACCGATCCGCAATGCCATCGCACTATCACTGAGTGATAGTGCGATGGCACGGCCACCTAATTCCTAGGTGGCCTTACTTTTAAGGTAAGGCCACCTAGCTAGGTGGCCTGGATGTTCCAGCCAGAACACCTAGCAGCTCAGGTAGGTGGCCTTTCTGGCTGGAACATCCGCATATTTTTTTTTCTTAATTCTTTTTTCAAATTATAATTCAAATAAAAAAAATTAAATTTATATATCTGATTCAAAATTTTTTTCTTTTTGGAATTAAATAAGATGGATTTTCTTTTTGGAATTAAATAAGATGAAACTTATAGTTTTATGGGGAAATGAATTTTTTTTACCGTTAAGATCAAAATATGAATATGTACATTGAAACGCATTGGTACAATCACTGCCAGCATAGATGCCTTGGGTTGAGAAATCCGAGGCATCATCGGAGGCAAATCCTCGGACAGACCTTGTCCGAGGTTTTTGCCCAAGGTATTTCTTTGCCCTGAGAATTACCTCGGATCAAAACCTCGGGAAGCTTCTGTCTGAGGTTTTGCATCCGAGGATACCTTGGATTTTGTAATCCGAGGTAAATATGTTGGTGGTGAATTTGTTTGAAAGGAATATTTGGTTTAATTACTCATCCATTTTTATATATGTATTGATATACATATATAAAATATATATTGCAACATTTCAATTACAACATGTTTGAAAGGTTTGTCCAATATTTTTGGCTTTTGTTAACAAAAAAAAACTACATATTGAAACAATTGTCTGCCTATTGTTAAAGAAATAAATATCTACTGGAAGAGTTGCATCAAAATATGATTGAAAGCATTGTTCGGTAGTATATTTTGGTAATATACTCAATTTATGTATTCTTTTGTTAATGAAAAAAAAATTATATTATGGATCGGTTTGAGTAAGATGTGTTTGAAATTTTTTTGGTTGAGATACTCATCATCCCAACTGTTTTTTTTTCCTTTTGTTAATGAAAAAAAAATTGAAACAGACTCATCCATCAGATATTTTTGCTGGCATGTTGGTGTGTAGTTGGTGATGGAGACAGAAGGTGATTTGATGAGGATTGCAGAAGATTGAGGCCGGTCGAAGAAGATTCAGGATAATCAAAGAAGATTGAGGACGGTCAAAGAAGATCAAGGACGGTTGACAAAGATTGAGGAAGATCAAGGACAGTTGACAAAGAAATAAGAAGATCGAGGACGGTTGATGAAGACCGACCAGGACGGTCGACAAAGAACGAAGAAGATCCAGGACAGTTGAGTTGACAGATATTGAGGAAGAT